GACCATAAGGGAGACTGACGGACAGGAATCCGGGAGAGCCACTCATCGAAGGATGAGGTGGTGGACTGAAGTGTCGGGTGCACAGTGGTGTGCCTATGTGGTGTGATGACTAGCTGAAGGACTACTAATCGGCGGCTACAAATCAGGTTCACTTTTTCTGAACCAGAGTTGCAGCCGCCCGACATCAATTTTCCTTTTTGACTGGGGGTATATTAGTGTGAGCGTCCGCAACATGAAAAAGTATCTGCTGCCCGACAGTGACCGCCTCCCTCGCCAAACCTTACTCTTAAGAAAAGTAAGCATGGTTAGAGTTTGATGACGCCAGCGGGGGGTCACACAGTGTGACTTCCTTAGGGTCCGGTGTCGGAGATGGCGGCGTTTTGCACACCGCCGAGTGTTGTGCAAGGAGATGTTTTGTGAGCCCGATTCGTCATGAAAGTTACCGTCTATGTTTTGTTTCAGTGCCGTTGTATCGAGTGTAACCGAGACGGTTCACCGGAGGAGCTACCCGGATCCAACCAGGTGGTGTACTCCTTTGAAGGGGTTCTTAGACGCAATGACAAAGACTTTGACGGAATCGCTAGTACCGCTTTGTCCCCCCACGAAACGGCCGCTCTTTAAGCCAAAGAGCGAGCTGAGTACGAAGCCGCGCTCCATGAAGGACCCGCCTAACGCTCTCCCGGGATCAAGGTGGAAACCGTGAACATGGAATCGCCTGACGCCAAACGAACTTTTTCGAGTGGAAGCACCAAAGGACGTGGAGGGTCGATCTCCTTCGAGAGCGAAGAAGCCCGCCGTCGGCCGGGTACCTCTCGGAGCGATACCGGCGGAGCTTTCAGCACCCCCATCCCGTGTCATCAGAAGATCGCTGCCCGCAAGAAAACACCCGAAGGCTCGCTGAACGAGGCAGAGAGAGCCTGAAAGATCTCGGAGCTGGTCGCCCAGGAACGAGCTAAGGAGGAAGTCGCCCAAGATGAAAAGCGGCTCGCGGCAGAAAACTATGAGCAAGAACGACCCACTGAGATGGCCCGTCCAGAAGCTCCTACGTGAAAACGAGGCAGCCGGAGCACAACGAGCGAAGGCCGCTGAGGCCGCAAAATACAAGCAGGAAGCAGAGGTTCAGCGACGCGTTGAACAAGCCCTGGCCGCCCAGGCTCGCCAGGAAGGACTTCGAGATAGGCACCCGGGGACAAGCGACGGTACGGCTCCGCCGACACCCAGATTCTCCCCTGGAGTACCATCAAGTCCAACCAGCCGCTTTGGGTACGGGTAAGTGAACGGGGTCAATGGACCATACGGAGTGGTCAACGAACAGGGCAAGATGCAGCCATTCGGCAGCGATAGGATTCTTGCTTGTGCCCGCAGCACGGCTGCCGAAGCCTGGGAGTGGGTGAGTGCCGAACTCGCCCATACAGCTGACAACGCCCCCGCCCCCGACGAGATCCGGCGATGAGAAGTCCCTGAGCCCGCCAATAGTCGAGTGGTATGCAATCCAGCCGGCCCACCCCCCATGCTCGCCGGAAAGGAACCGTCTACCAAGGACAAGGATTCGATCTACAACATCGCCCAATCAAGGGATGGCACGCAGTTCCTCGCGAGAAGGTTTGGCCCCAGAAGGAATCAGTCCGCGAACGGCCAAAGACATGGGCAATCAGGCTCCCTGTTAACTCATACTCTCCGTTCTGTAGAATCTCTTCATTCCCTGTCTGGGAAGGTGGGCGGTGCGACCTTCGACCGTACCAGTACCAGTCTACTCGTATTTCGGTGGACTCATTGCCAAATTTCTCGGTTCCAAATTCCAAACCACTGCTACCGCTTCCGAGCAAAATGAATACTGAGACTAAAGTGGCAAGCCCCAAACTTGCCATCCGCCAATAACAGTGATTCTCATGTCGTTTTGCCATGCCAAATGCCAAAATCGCCTCACAAAATTGGGCTGACCGCCAAAACTGTGAAGTGAGCAACGGCCAACAGCTCGGTCAACACAGAGTTAGGCCAATGCCGCAAATGGTACCGGTACGTCGCCGGTACCATGGCAGTACTATTAGTAACAGTGTCGAGGTACCACTGTACTGAGTACAGCAGAAGATGACCTGACAGATTTAAGAGTCTCCTTTTCAGAAACGAGACAATAATTAAATATAGGATTTTTAAGGAGAAAAGAGATCAACAAATCAACAAAAAGAATTAGTTTAGTAGAACTCGACTCGACTGACTCTTTTTGCAGTGCAGCTGTTCCAACGTTCAATGACGGTTCCCCATTACGTCAAGCCAGCAAGGAAGCATGTAATTTTCCGTTTTGCGGAAGGACTCGATCCAACCATGCGGCACTCAAGTGCAAGATCTATGCGAGAGATCCCACTTGATGACTTACTCGGCTTCCAACAGCCCACGCACGTGGGCGCACAACGGTTATCCAAGCAAGGAGCTCATTTGTGGAACATCCGGCATCTTTTGTGCCAAAAAAATTACAAGCATCAAGTACTATTTCTACTATACATGTACTACTAATAGTATACTACTATGAACACCCTCCGTCGACATCTCAGTCTCGTTTGCTTTGTGCTCCTCGTTTGTTCCCCTACCAACGTTTGCGCTTCAGCTGCAACGGCAACTGCACGAAAGAGCAACAAGGGTGCAAAGGGTATCCGAGGAGTACATGCATCATCAGTCCGCTCGAAATCAGAATCAGATTCAGATTCTGGAGTTCGTGGACGGGAACTAAAAAAGAAAGGAAAGGGTGGCGGTGGCAACGGCCTGATTGAACTCGAGGTTTGCTTTACTGACCCTGAGGGAACCGTTGACGAAATCCGCAACAATGGCTTTGAATCCTTAGGTGACCAGGATTGTTTCCTTAGTCCAATTGGGGGTTGTCCCGGTGGATGCTGTCGAGTTGGGTTAACCTTGACGTGCGACATTACAAACTTTCTTCCCCAGCTCCCCTGTATCTGCAATGGACTCACCAAAGGTACACCCATTGGTGTCATTACAATGGCGCAAGAGTACGAGTTTAGCACCAATTCCACCAACTCCACCCAGAGCAATAGCACGGTCCCATGATGATCAAGAGAGATTCTACCGGTACCGTGTTATTACGTTTTCGACATGTTCACCTAACATATGCATGTATTCTATTAAAATTAATAGAAAATAACCATGTTGTTGTTGTTGTTGTTGACCCGTACAGTACCGGTAGTCCACCACATCCCAATAGTACAAGGACGACAGTACCATTACGATGCACAGCACACTTGGTTGCCCCTTCCAAATGGCCCACCTGTCATACTTCTAAGAAAGAAACTACCTTGCAGCATCGGTAGTAGAGCTGCCAGTACCAAAAGCGGCAAAGGGCACAAGCAGCTACTATATATATGTACTAGCTAGCTAGCTAGCTATCTAGGTCCAGCTACTAGCTAGGTACATGTATGTAGTATGTACCAACAGCTCCTGTCCAGAGCGGTTCGATTCTCTTAGACCACGTTGCTCCAATTGTCTTCGACAGCTTAACCTACTTATAGCCATTCTTTAGACTTCACCCTATACCGGTACGGTACCTGGTACTTGCAATGAGCGCGCAATGGCAAAGCACATGCAGCTTTTGCATCATGGGGGGCCGCTGTTTCAAGTTATTTTTACGGGGGGGGTTTAGAGTAGGGAAATTATCTACGGAAGCCAGCCGGGGCCAGGCTTAAGCAAAGAACAGTCGAAATTCAGGACTAGGTTCTGTGGGATCAGGGGCAAGAAATGGAGGACCATTACGGGGGGCAAAGGGTTTGGCTTTGCGGGACCCACGGAGACATAAATGGGTAGCTTTCACAAGGGCAATTGAGATACGGGTCTGCATGAAGAACATCATTTGAGAGTAGGAAAATTGAGTTTTGGAGGCAGTAGCAGAAGCAAGGTGTTGTAAGAGAGTCTTGGCTTGAGGGGCAAGCATGCCATCCACTGAAACAACAAAGGGTGGAAGGAAGCGCGATTGGACTCGCACGCGTCTTTATATTTGGAAATTTTGTCGCGTTCTTGTTGGGTTAAAACTTTGACGGGATAAAGTTAGATACTTCAACTGTTTCAAGTTATTGACATGTCATATGGCGCTACCCGTAGCTATTAATAGCAGAGACTGTGGACGTGTGCCAACTAGAGTAGCTACCTCGATCTAGCTAGAGTTGACGAAAGCAAAGACGTAAGAAAGAGTGTAGAGTACCGCTGTAGCTATCGTACGGTAGCTACTTGATCAGTGGACAGATAACCGTAGATGGAAAGAAAGGATGTAAACTTGCAACCACCTCCGAGGGTCAACAAAAATCAATGCCTCGACCGGTGACCGCTTCCCCTCTCGTGGGATTTCGGTACCATACCGTATAGAATCCGCCGTCCGATGGATTAGCTATGGTCTGGCCAAGATGAATGACAGACAAACGAGAGTCCCCAACCTTGAGCTAGCTAGCCATAGCCATTGTTCGTTGTCTTGATCCACGCTAGCTAACAGTGTATCAATCCAACTCTTTGGTTCAAGCTTGATAGCATCTACGCAGTTGTTTTTTGTTGGTACTATTCTCTCCAGCCACAATAGCTAGCTATCCTTCAGCATTGTAATGGCCCCCCTTCCACCTTCCAAGATATCAGCCACATTCTTTGAGACCCCCTGGTCCTTGCTAGCACACACAATTTTCAACAGAGACTAACAGAATGGCTGAAATGGAAACACCTTGACTATCTTTCAAAACCAGCACATCAATTAAACAAAAAGCCTTCCAAATAGGCCACTGCACCCTGCCACCAACCAAATGCCCTACTAACAAGATTGGTCTGTGCAGGGGTTCCACCAGTGCCCAGGTTACCAACTTGAGGCAAAGGATTCAGGAGAGGTGAAAATGTGGGGAACTCAGTCTGTCCCCACATTTGGACAAGACCATTATCTGTGCCAGGACCATCATACTCAGGTGCTCCAACAAGGACTTTGGTCCCATCCCCAGAAACAGCAACGCTCCATTCCAAATAATCAAAGTTCCTAATTCCATCAATATCAAAACCTTGGGCCCTGCTGATCTCTTGAAGGACCCAATCAGTGCCATCAAACTTGTAGATGCGAGTGTAACCGGGCTGACGTGCTTGTAGGAAGCCGAAAACACTTACAGATCCAGCCACAAGGGTTTTGCCATCATCGGATAAATCAATGGAGGAACCAAAATCGTCAAATTGTTCGTCCCCAATGAGATCACTATATATGAATGTATCACAAGACAGATGGGGCAGGGTCAGTAATCCAAAAAATCATGATGGATGCACACTTCACAGTCCACAATGCTTGCTTACCTTCCCAATTGGAACCATAAGTCGCCAGTTCTTTCAAAGACTTGAACCCTGCCGATTGTGTCAGCTCCACGCAGATCAAACCCAGGAGACCCAACTGCAACGATGCTTCCATCATAGCTTAGAGCCACCGAATAGCCAAATTGTCATTGACAGCGGACCCAAACATTGATCCACCATCAACGAGTCTTGGTATTATGGGGAGACCCGTAGTGCGGTAAACACGGCATTCACCAGACCTTGTGGAGTCAATGTCAGAGATTCCAGATCTGGTCATTCCAACAGCAAACCAGTTGCCGTCTCCAGAGAGTGATACAGATGCACCCAGCTGTGCATCTTCAATTTCTCCATACAGTCCAGAAACTCTAAGGAAAATAGTGTCTTCATATCTCTCACGCTCCCAATCATTGCTGTTCCATAAGTAGGTTGTTGCAAAGCCCACATCACGTAGAGTTGGGCTAGAATAATCCCGAGCCCCAACTGCAATTTTGTTTCCATCTGCTGACAGAGAAATGGCCCAGCCAAAGGAATCAATTGGCAAGCCATCCAGATCAACACCTTGAATTGTACTGCCTCTTTGCGACCACATCTCTGTGCTTGTGTTGTACTGGAACACCACAACAACTTTATTGATGGGAGAGCTGACAGCTACAATGCTTCCATCGCTTGATATTGCAACTGAACGATCAGTGTATCTGATAGGAAAACCTGTCAAGTCTTGTCCTTTCTGTGTCCATCCATTGGCAGCATACTCATAGACACGAACAGTGTCAGTTCCAAATTCACGAACCACTATTGTTGTTCCCGTCTGGTCTATTGCCACAGAGTCTCCAAACAATCCGCCATTGGTACCTCCCACAAGGTTTCCTCCAAATTGGACGTATCCGCTGATGGGAACCAACCGACGATGCTCCACGTTCAAGTCAACGATTGCCAACGCAAGCTTTTGGGGTTCACTGGTACCAGCACTACGGGTATCCGCTGACACCAAGAGAATGGCTGCAATGACAAACAGCAGGAATTTTAAAGTCCACAACATGGTTGACAGTTCAAGGATACAGTAGGCACAATGCAACAGAATGAGGGAAGGCAAATGAGACGAACAAAGAAGCTCACTGAACAAGAAGATTCGTGTCAGGGCAGGTTAGATTATGTTAGCGGGTTCCTTCTTTTAGAGAAGCGGCGGTTCAACGTTCCTATGGTAGATACCGGTAGCCAGACAGGCAGTCAATGAGCCACACTCCCGACATTCCAGGTGCTCGATCCATGGCGTGAAAACTGTTTGAAGCTGCAATGGTTGTTGCCTTAGCGTAGCCAGGCGTTCTCCAACGTTGCTCCGGTACCAGTGGCTACATAGCCTAGCTGGCTAGCTAGCCATGCAGCTATGGGTGTCAATGGGCGACACTCTGCATATGCCAGCTAGATAGCCTTTGAAAGCTACTTCATTGCTAGTCGGTCCCTGCCCTCCCCCCCCCGTTCTGTCTCGATTCTCTTGGTCCTCCCCTGCCTGCAATCTCCTTCTGTTGGCCTGCATGCTCATAGGTTTTCATTCCCTGCCAGCTCGATCTCTGCTCACGACAAGCCCCAATTCTTCAATCACACTCGTAGCCCCATTCTAACCCATCGTAGCATCAATTGCATCAAGTTCGCAGACACGTACGACTCATGCTAGCCTAGCTAGCTAGCTCCAAATGACTTGGGTCGGATCGGATCGGATCGGATCGGGTTGGGTCCACCGCTACTACCTATACCGGCGATAGCTAGCAAGTTCTCTCTTCTGGTGGATTATCAGAATCACCACCTGATCCCCTCGGGCGCCTGACTCCTGTCTCCTGCGGTCTCATCTGCCCTGGTCTGGAGCTAGCTGGCTGGTTGGTTGTTGGCTGATCAAGCTCGCCGACCAAGGAAACAACCGACGAAGGAGGAACGGAGGAACTCTCATGCAGTTGCTCCGACCAACACAAGCAACTCGCGATACCATGGACCACGACAACAGGCACGACGAGTATAGTCTCTATGCACTAGCTACTAGGGGTGCAGCCAGGATTCTCGTTACTGTGTCCAAAATGGAACTTTGCTTCCTATTTCCGAGGCTTCCCAGGCTGGGAAATCGGCTTCAGCACTGGGGAAAGGACAGTTCTTCTTGAATCCCTAGTACTCATAGCAAGGCCAAGTAGCTACAAAAGATGCTAACAAACAAGACACAAGCGCCCCCACTATCTAGCAACACCCTGCCGTTAGGGTGGGGAAAATGGGGGCTAGAGTAGTTAGGATTGATATCATTCTGCTACAATGGGTGCTATCGAACACCCACCAAGCTCATAATAAGAGATCCTCGCAATGGCGGATTCGATTTAGATGGAGGTGCCAAATCGTAATCAACAGCTTAATCTACTTATTAGCATCCTTTAGACTTCACCCTACTCAATTGGCACTCCAATGCCAACTGAGCGCCGGGCCGATTTGAACTAAATGTACGTACTCTCGAGGTTTGGTGATCATTGTCGGCACCAAACTAGCGTGGACGCGCTCTAGCTAGCTAGAGTTTAGAACAGTCTTCCCAATCGGCCAGGCACACAAGCTCGTGCAGGTATATTACACCACCAGTAGAGACAAACAGAATTGCTGCATGGAAACAAACACCTTGACAATCATTCAAAACCAGCACATCAATCAAGCAAAGAAACCTTCCAAATAGGTGACTGCACCCTGCCACCAAGAGTATGCTCTACTAACCAAACTGGCCTGTGCAGGGCTTCCACCAGTGCCCAGGTTGCCAACTTGGGGCAAAGGATTCAGGATAGGAGAAAATGTGGGAAAGTCAGTTTGTCCCCACATTTGGACAAGTCCATTACCAGAAAAAATATCATCATTTGGAACAACATCATAGTAGGGTGCTCCAACAAGGACTTTAGTCCCATCTCCAGAAACAGCAACACTGAATCCAAAAAAATCACGTTCTCTGATTCCATCAATATCAAAACCTTGGGCCCTGCTGATCTCTTGAAGGATCCAATCAGTGTCATCAAACTTGTAGATGCGAACATACCCACGGGGAAAATCTGTTGGGCCGAAGAAAGGGTTTACAGATCCAGCCACAAGGGTTTTGCCATCATCGGATAAATCAATGGACCACCCAAATCTATCGTCTTTTGCGTCCCCAATGAGATCACTATGTATACAGGTATCACAAAACACAGGCTTAGAGGAAGTAATCCAAAAAATGATGTGGCATGCACATTTCCAGTCTTCAATACTTACCTTCCCAATTGGACCCATAAATTGGCAGCTCTTTGAAAGACCTGCACCCTGCCGACCTCTGTGGCCTCAAGCTTGTCAAACCCAGGAGAACCAACTGCAATGATGCTGCCATCGTAGTTTAGAGCCACCGAATGGCCAAATTCATCCTGGACAGAGGACCCAAACATTGATCCACCATTAACAAAATTTTGCTGGAAAGCATCAAACAGAGAGTCCTTGGTGTAAACACGGCATTCACCAAACCTTGCCGAGTCAGACTCAGAGGATCCAGATTGGGGCATTCCAACAGCAAACCAGTTGCCATCTCCAGAGAGTGATACAGATGCACCCAACCGTGCATCTTCAATTTCTCCATACAGTCCAGAAACGAAATCATTGCGACTAATATACAACTCACGGTCCCAGTCGTTGCCGTTCCAGAAGTAGGTTGTTGCAAAGCCAATGTCAAGTAAAGTTGGGCTATCATGATCAGGATCCCCAACTGCAATTTTGTCACCATCTGCTGACAGAGAAATGGCCCAACCAAAGAAAAAAATTGGGAAGCCATCCAAGTCAACACCTTGAATTGTACTTCCTCTTTGTAACCACATCTCTGTTAGTGTTTCATATTGGAAGACCTTAACAAGTGAATTGTCGACAGAGCCGACAGCAACAATGCTGCCATCCCTTGATATCGCAACTGAACGACCACTGCCAAACATAATAAAAGAGAGAGGAAAACCTGACAAGTCTTGACCTTTCTGGGTCCATCTGTTGGCAACAATCTCATAGACACGAACAATATCAGTTCCAGGTTCATGGACCACTATTGTTGTCCCTGTCTCGTCTATGGCCACAGACCATCCAAAAAACAATCCACCATTGGTATCGCCCACGAGATTTCCTCCAAATTGGACATATCCGCTGATGGGAACCAAACGACGATGCTCCGCATTCAAGTCAATCATGTGCAGTGCATACTTTGGGAGTTCACTAGTACTGGTACCGTATGCTGATGGGAGAAGCATTGCCGCAATGACACACAGCAAGATAGCCCTGGAGAATGCTTTATGAGCACGGAAAAGAAACCATTCTGAAAGATTGAATGTCCACAACATGGTTGACACTTCAAGAATTCAAGCATTCAACAAAGGATTCAAAAAATCAATCAGCAGATGCTGGATGAGGGATGAGACCAACAAAGAGCTGAGCTGAGCTGAGCTGAGACTTGAAGATTTGCTTGCAGCTAGCCAGCTCATGTTAGCGAGTTCCTTCCTTTAGAGAAGCGGCAGTTCAACGTAGCTTTGGCAGATACCAGTCCACCAGGCAGTCATTACAAGCCAAGGTGCTCCATGGGCGTCAACGAGCGACACTCAATCCTCTATAGTAAGCTGCTTGCAACGTCGTCTATGCATATTGCGTATTCGGCCCGGAAGGCTCAATACATTTCCAATGGAGTTGCGGGAATACCTGTTTTACCTGTTCATCAGGCAGTTCCAACTGTTTTCTTTTGGAAGAATGACTGAAAAGAGAAGAATGACACAATCTGGAAGGATGACACAATCTGGAAGAAAGACACAATCTGGAAGGCTCTACGTAAAAACACGTAGCAATTAGTACCAGGAAAAGTAATCTGGAAGAATGACACAATATGGAAGAATGACACAAAATAGAAGCATGACTCAAAGTGGAAGATTAACACAATTTGCTGGTGACCCTCAAAAAGGAACTGCTCCAAGAGCGGTTCCCCGCAACTCCAATAAATAGCAAAGGTGCTCTGCATGTCAATTGGCGACGTCCAAAACTGCAATGACGGCTGTGGTCCTCGCTGCATGCAAGACTGCTTTGAATTGCATGTAGATGGGGTAATAATACAATTTATTGAAATTTCTTCAGATCAAAGATTAACTTTAACGCAACTTGGTACACGACTGCATTGGAACGGGACCGAGGATTCTTGGAACCGGAGAAAGGATTCTTGGAACCGGACAAATAATGATTCTTGGAACACGACTGATTCTGAATCAGCCTGCCAGTGCACATGTATGTGGTGTGGGTTGGCTCATGACCAGGTGGGTGTCAAAGCTGTGGCAACAATGTTGAATACGGAATAGCATGACTTCATACGATTTTAGGAGTGACTGGATTTTAAAGTAAATTTTACTGAAACTTTAAAACTGGAAACCAACCGCCAAAATGAATCAAGCTCCGCTGCCATGGCGAATACGGTACCATACTTCAAGCAATCATTTCTGTCTTCACCATGCCTGAGACTGGCCATAGGAGTGCCATCGCATTGACTTGTGTCTACGGTACTGGTACCTACTTTTGTGCTACCTGCTACGTTTCGCCCTTTGCATCGCTGCGCCATTGCCAGAAATCACTTTGCCATTTGCGGCAATTTAGTCGATGGTGGTCAAAAACGTCAAAAAGCCGACTGACTCTCCGCCTCTGGCAGGCAGATCACCCAATGGACCTATCTACAATATCATGCATGATCGTGTTTGGACTTCTTGTCTTACTGTAGCCTTCAGTTAGTAGAAGTTGCTTTTTAATATCTCTTATTTTGCAATTGTGAGCACAAAGGCTCTTATCTATTTTCTAGTCTCCTCATGTTTGGGGGTGCAGGTTTGACAGTCCCACCTCTCCTTACTTCTCCTTCAGGGATGTTCAGGGATATTCTCAGAGAGTCTTGGACCTTGTCCCCATCATTGTGGCTGGAAGTGGGACCCCTTGGGCATCTGCCTCTGGGATTGCATCACCACTTTCTACTACTCCCCTTGATGCGGTTCCAGTGGTCTTCTTCTTGGTAATTTTTTCGGCGTCACTTTCCTTACCATACAGTGGCTCTCTGAGCAGCCTGTAATAGTCTTCTGGTCCTTTGGCTTTGGTGTTAATATCAGCTAGATTCCACTTGCTTCCAATGTGTGCCATCTTGGTGATTCCCATAGCCATAGCTTCTCTGCACTTGTGCCAGGCAACTGCCTGTGTTTCTTCTTGAGGGTGCCAGATGGCAACTGCATGTTGTGCACTACTGACATATTGTCACATAACACTGCTGCAGGCTTAGTAACCTTGATTCCCATAAATCTAAGCTTGGCTCTCATAGCTAATACTGCTTCCACTCCAATTCTGCTTGCCACAAGCTCAGAACCATATGTAGATGCCTCCACAGTGTTCTGTTTCTTGGAGTAGCTGCTGATAACTGTCTTGCCTAAGAGCATGACATAACCAGTCTGACTATGCCTTGTCACAGTGTTACTGGCATGGCTAGCATCGATGAATAGAGTGATTTGTAGCTCTTGGTCAATCAAAGGGGGGCATGTAGTGTCATCCACATCTTCAATGGAATCAGGGTAGAGGCCGGCCCAGTCATTTTTCGTGAACCCAAAATCATTGTAGCATGGGTTCTCTGGGTTAAACTGGATCCTAGCCTTGGGTGTACTCTTCAAATAACCAAAAATCCTCATCATTCTTTGCACATGACCCTCTCTGGGCATGCTGGCATATCTGGCCAGTGTATTGGTGGCATATTGGATGTCAAATCTCCCTAAGGTCACGGCCCATTGGGCACATCCCACTAGCATTTGGTACTTTGTGATTTCTTCTCCAGCAATGAGGTCAGTGTTGTCTTCCTCAGGATGGTCATCAGGTGCCATAGGTGACCCATATTGCTTCAGGGTAGTTCCATAGAGTTTTTCAATTCTGTCACAGACACCACGGATGTAGGTCTTTGCAGACCATTCCCAATAGCCAGAATCCTTGTTGAATCCAATGTCTGCTCCACTGTAATACTCTGGCTCTCCAACTCCCTTGAGTTCATAGTTGTATACATCAGTGAGTGGTCCAATGATATCTTCAGGATTTCTGCTGAACACCAGCAAGTCATCTACAATGACTGCCACATATTCATAGTGGTCTCCACGCTCTCTCATCCATAAGTCATAGTCAGCTCTTGATGGCTTGAAACCCATTCCTCTTAAGGATTCTGAAAGCTTCTGGTGCCACATAGCTCCGGACAGTTTGAGGCCATAAAGGGCTCTGACAATGATGACCTTGATACCATGAAGCTCTCCAAATTCTGAGCCAGGAACACAGTAGATCTTCTCAATTGTAAATGATTGGATATATGCAGATCCAATATCAGCTGCAATCACCCTTAGGGCAGATAGGACAGCAATTAGGAAACATATTCTCACAGTTTCCAGATCAACCACTCCTGAGTATAGATCGAATTCAATATCCAATGTCTTGTGACCACCTGCCACGCATCTTGCCCTGAACCTTCCATCAAATTTTACACTGAACGTCCATAGTAATGGGATTTCTTGGTACTCAATGGTGATTTCAGATGGGTCCTCAGGTATGCGAAAGCACTCATAGACATCTCTTAACAGCTTGACTTCTTTGCTGATAGCATCACTCCACTTGGTATTTCCATTGATTTTGTCAAACATCAGAGCTTCATGTACAGTTCTGGGAACTCTCACACCAAACTGATATTTGATGACCTTGCCTAACCTCTTCTTCATTAGATGCACTTGTCTGAGGGCACGCTTGAGTTTCTTGGGGTCTTTGTTGGTTTATGAGCCCATTTCCACTTAGCTAGGTGGGTGATACCTCTCTCTCTGGCATATGCAGCCAGAGTGATGGGATCATCTGCCTTCATAGTTTCCATGGGAACCCAGGAAGGCTCATCACTAACCCAATTGACCAGCACATCAATTCTCCCCTTTCTCTTGGGATCCTTTGACCATCTGTGGTCCTTTATGGAGTCATACTCAAAGTATTCAGCATTCTCTTCATTTGGCTTGTTCATCATGCTGATCAGGAGGTTGTAGTCAATGGCATCTTGTTTTCCATCACTGTATTCAACCCTGTAGTGGTCTTCATCAATTTGATCCACAACTCTGCCTCTGATTCGAGTCTCTCTGCCAGACCTGGTGACATATTTGTTCCATACAAACTTGTCAATGAGATCTTCTGCTGAGAACTCTTTGGGGGTGTTCTTGATTTCAGGGTTGCCATTATCATGATTTCTTCCTCCCCTGCCTCATAAATGACAATGGGAAATATAGGATCATCTCTTCTTTCTTGATCAGCTTTCTTTTCAGCCTCAAGTAAATCTTGAAAGGCAACATTAGGCCGGATGTCATTGGTAGATCTGACCATACTCCTGACAATTAGTTGCTTAGTATCCTGGGTGAGGATCCAATAGCACATAGTGTCACCATAATTGAGTGCTCGTCCCATCCAGCGACCCAATTTTTCATTTCCTCCTTTGCTGGGGAAACCATGGTCTGGATCCTTGTAATATACAAGTTCCCAGAATTGAAATCTGAGTAAGCCAGATATGTCTGGAGTATTTCCATCTCTGAATTCCTTGGGGGTCCTGTATCCCAGTTTCTCTCGGGCTGTGTGGTTTCTCAAATCTGCAACATGACAGGCAGCCCTAAACCAGGATTCAGGTTCACATCCAGTAGAAATGAACAGCTTCTCAAGTTTTTCTTTCATATCACCAATGTCCCTTTCAGCTGGATTTTGGTGTGGGTGA